CGCGGCTGTGGGCCCGGGTTGGTCTCCTTCCCCGCTCCCTCATACCTCCGCTCTCTCCTTGCAGCCTGCAGCGGGGCCTACGAGCGCACCTTCGTGGCCATCAAACCGGACGGGGTCCAGCGGCACCTGGTCGGGGAGATCATCCGGCGGTTCGAGAGGAAGGGCCTGCAGCTAGTGGGGCTGAAGCTCCTGCTGGTGAGCGGCCGGTACTGGTGCTGCCAGGGTGGGGGGGGCCCCCGGGGCCAAGGGCTCCAGGCTGGAGCAAGGCCCATGCGGCTCCGCAGGCCCCGGCTCTGCTGGTGAAGCCCGAGAGGTTTCTGCTTGCCTCCCAGCTTGTACGGCTGGCTCTCATCACTCGGGCACCGGATCCTTTCAGGCCAGAGGGGTGTTGGCACCCAGGTGCCTGAACTGCCTCTGGAAGGGTGATTCTGGTTGTGGGGAGCATGCCTGCCCTCCAACTGTGTCCGTGCTCCGGAGCTTTCGTACATGGCTGTTGTAAGCTGGCTGTTCTTGCTCCTCTGACTGAGAAACTTCTCCCCTCCGTGTGTCAGGCTTCAGCAAAGTAAAGCTATTTCATTCCTGGAATGCAGGAACTTAATTGTAACGTGCACTATCCAGCTTTAACTATGTCTTTCAAGTGTAGAACTTGCCCAGATCTCCTTCAGCCCAGGGCAGACTAAGCTTTGTGCTCTTTGTGCTCAGGCCTCGGAGGAGCTGCTGAAAGAGCACTACATTGCTCTTCGTGACCGTCCCTTCTACAGCCGGCTAGTGAAGTACATGAGCTCTGGGCCCGTGGTGGCCATGGTGAGTGCTGGCCAGGTTCTCCGGAACCAAGAAACAGAAAGTAAGTGCGATGTTTAAGCAGTATTGGCTCATGATACGATGGAAACAAGGTGGCCCCTCTCTTTAGAGGGCCTCTTGGAGCTGTATTGAAGTGCAGGGGTGTTTTCTGCGGTAAATTAAATCCACATACAATTCTAATCATTTTCCAAAATCAACTCTTGAAGACTATTTACAGAGAGACCCTTTCCTATTTCTCACTTAGGTGGATCAGATGGACAATTTAGAGGACAGGCAACAGGATCTGCTGAGGGAGTTGTGGAAGCTGATTCTTGTTTTGCCGTCACATAGGTCTGGCAGGGCCTGGACGTGGTCAAGACAGTTCGCACAATGATTGGGGAGACTAACCCAGCCGAATCCAGGCCTGGCACTATCCGAGGAGACTTCTGCGTTGAAGTCAGCAAGTGAGAGCTTTGGCTTTTTGTTCCCTCAATATTTCAGGACGTCCCATTCCTGTGCTTCTGCCTCCTGCAGCTGCCTTTGCCAGGAGGAGAGTGGGTTTGTGTCTTTCCTGTTTCCTGAGGCCTTCTCTGTCGAAAGCAGGTGGGGTGTTGGGGTCTTTTGCTCCAGGGAATCAGGACTGTCAGACTGTGAAGGAGTGCTGGGAACTGGCAGCTCCTGCACATCCATGACGTAAGCAGTGTTCAGCATAATTATGAACAGCCCCTGAGCTGGAAGGAGAAGTGCTGTGTGGGGGGACAGAATATTGTAGGATGCAACTGGCTCAATCAGTTTAATTAAATTGGTCAAAGTGAAGTTTTCCAAACTGCAGCTTCCCTCTCCTGCCTTTCTCTGCTTAATGCTGGCTGATGCCTTTCTTCTTCCGCACAGGAATGTGATCCACGGCAGTGACTCAGTTGAGAGTGCCCAGCAGGAGATTTCCCTCTGGTTCCGCCCAGAGGAGCTGACTTGCTGGGAGGACATGGCCGAGCACTGGATCTACGCATGAGAAGAGCAGCCCGAGGGAAGCATGTCTTCCTGACTGGGCACAGGGCGTTCCCATCCATTTCATTGCAGCCACTTGGGGCTGGCTGTGGATCCTGCTGCGGTGTCACGTGCTGGGGGGGGGGGGGGTGCTTTTTGTGGGTGGAGGGGTCCTGGGAGCTGGTCTGTGTGTGTAACTCTGTGGTTCAGCTCCCTGCAAGAGTAGCTGTTTCTTTTTTTTTCTCTCTGCTATAGTAAGTAGTTGGTATTGTTGCTCTGTTTGCTGCAGCATCTTAAATCCCAAGTAGCTCAAGGTGATTTAGTGAAGTGGAAAACTGGGCTCTGTGCCTGATCCTTGTGTATTCTCAGACCTGCCTGGCACAGGAGAATGTGTGCTCGCCATCAGGAGAGGTGCTCTGCTTACTACAAGATGATGTGATTGATATAATTTACCTGCATTTCTCTAAGGTTTTTCACCAAAGGCTTTTAAAGAATTAGGCAGCTATGGGATAAGGGTGAAAGTCCTCCCCTTGGGGTAAGAGCTCATTCCAAGACCAGGAATGAAGGACAGGACAAACTGCTCGCTCTCCCTTGGTGATTCTGGTTGTGGGGAGCATGCCTGCCCTCCAGCTATGTCCGTGCTCCAGAGCTTTCGTACATGGCTGTTGTAAGCTGGCAAGCACAAGTTCACCCAGCTTCAGAAGCGATTAGTGAGTCCACGGAAGGATAATTCGCCAAATGCTGTTAAACGCACAGTTTCTCTGGCTCTGGTTCCTGGCTGCTGGTGCTGGGAGTGTGAAAGCAGCTTCTCCAGGTCTGTTCTGGTTCTCTGTGGGCTGCATGGCTCCTGACCCAGCACGGGAGCTTCATGTTGTTCCTCCATGCAACTGACACATGCTGGTGAAACAGCAGCACTGCAAACCACAGGAATAGAAGGTGGAGAGTGAGGTGGGGAAGGATTTGTAGTTTCAGGGCTTAGGAAGGACTAGGATGACTATTTAGTTCCCTCTTGCGTGCAGTGCAGGCTGTGGAGCCCTGGCACTGAGCTCTGGGAGATCCCAAGATCTTCCTTATCTGTCAGTGGAGCTTCCCTACTGGGAGGGTTTCTGGAAGCCCAGTTTGTAATCAGTTGGACACCGCCTTGAACCTGCTGTGAGCTCTCCCTGGCACATCAAACTCCTCTGATCTGTGTTGTGTCTGTAGCTCCCCGTGCAGCTAGAGTGTAAGAGCAGGGACGGCGATGTTGCACCCCGCTGTGGAACAGGGGCACGGTTAAACCCAGGGAACACGGTCCCCCAGGGCTTGCCTGTGTGTAGGTTGAGATGTTAGGCCCATGCCTTAAAAGCCTGTCTGTCTCTCTGGCTCCCCAGTTTTGTAGTGGCTGGGGAATGAGTGCAGTTCTCTGGGGGCAGAGAAGCAGCTTGCTGCTGTCCAGGCCGGCCCGAGGGCTGTGGGGCTGGCGGTGGTACAGGAGCAAGCACTGTGGGGAGGGAGTGTCTCCTGCTGGTAACAGAGGCCCTCCTCAGCTGCCCCACTGCTGCAGGCAGCGCTCCTCCTGCCTTCAGGGCTTTCTCCTGGTGGCTATTTACAGCTCTAAATATGTCACAAATTCTCTTTCTTCCCTCAGTTCATCCATTTGCTTTTTTATAATAAACTCTGGACTCCCACTGTCTCCCCCACTGGTTGTTTTCCCTGGGCACTGGGAGGATGGAGGGGGTGGTGGCCTATGTCTGGGCGGCTTTTGGTGTGCTGAGGGGGATGCCATCAAGTGCTGTTGGCAAAGCTGCTCCACAGCTGCCATCTTGCCCCTCCTGACGCTGCAGGTGTGGGGGCTGGGGTCGCTCTCCCGGGGACAGGGATGTCCAGGCCTCCGGGCAGCGGGAGAGCTGCTGGCTGGAGCGGAGTGGAGCCCCGGTCCGGGGCGGGACAGCCCAGGCCGGCATCCCGCGCGGGGCTGCCG